AGACTGGCATCAGAGGGGCCCGCATACACGTCAGTATTTATTTAGATGGCAGGTGATTTACAGTCACCCTCTTCACTCATAGCATTCCGGGTACAGTTCAGCAACCATGCAGCCCTTGTGAGAATATCCTACATCTTCATCCCTTCATCACTCCAGTCCCGTAAAACGTTTATGTTGATGCTGTAATGACATCCACACTTAATTAATATTTAGTTGTCTAAACATTCATGCCATCCAGTTTATCAAATGACTTCAGTTCCACATATGCTGCAGCGTTTGTCTTGGATAATGTTTTGCAATTGGCTTTTTAATTCATGCTTCGAAAAAATAAATACAAAGAAGTAAAATGCACATTGTTGCAGGCCAGCCTTCCCACTGTTATCAGCATTAGGAAACAAAAATTAAGCAATCGGGTGAAATTGAGAAGTCTATAATATCATTTTCAACACAAATAAAAGCTGATTTCAATGATTCTTCCCAACAATGATGAAAGACACACTATTAAAGGAAGTCACATTTAAAATCATCTTCAATGACCCAGATGTCTTTGACAGGAGTTGGTGGACATAAAAGCGTAGTTGATCTGCGTCTGAAGAACAGACAACAAAATATTATAGACTGATGGCTGATGTTTCATTTAGTTTGCCTACTATGGGTTTTAAATCAAACCTCAGTGTTTAACTTTAAAAAAAAAAGTTAGAGCGGAAAGGCTGATTGGGCACGTGCAGAGGAGGGACACTAGATATACTGAACAACAGGATGTCGAGGATGGAGCTGCCAGGCAGGGGAAAAAGAGGAAGACCTCAGAGAAGATTTGTGGATGTAGTGAAGAAGGACATGCAGAGGGTTGGTGTGACAGAGGAGGATTCAAGGGATAGGATGAGATGGAGACGAATGATTACTGCGGCGGCCCCTAAAGGGAGCAGCTGAAAGGAGAAAAAAGAAGCATCCTGCATGTACGCACAGCATGTTTTGCCAGATGTCGCTGCATACATAGAAAGCGAGAGAACAGTTTAACACTATCCCTGCCAATGATGAAATATTCCAGCAATCGCCTTTCTCACATCATGCAATAGCATTAAAAATGTAAAACTCTAAAAATTATCCTGGAGGTCTTGAGTGATTAATGATTCATGAGTCACCGGGAAGTTCAGAACAATACTCTGGCGGGGAAAGTGTTAAGAAACAAGAAAGTCTGCATTAGAAGGTTGGGGAGGTGGTGGTGAAGTCAGAAGTTTGTCTGGCAGGAGACAAACTTCTGACTTTTGTCCCATTTGGAAGTTATTAGGAAGTTTTTAGCCTCCTTTTTGGGGTTTGGTTTTTTGCCTGCAACGCCTAAGGAAGTTTAAAAAATAATGCATTAGGTTAGGTTTAGTTGTCATTTTGGAAATTATATATTGGATTTATAAGGCACTTTTCCTAACAAGGTTACAAAGTGTTTCACAGAAGGGAATTTATGGAATATTGAAAAATCTAAGAAAAATAAGGCTACTAAATACTGAAAGTAAACTTTTAAAGCTTTACTAGCTTGTATTTCCAGCTTTTGAAAAATGGTTTCATGAAATAGCTGCTGCTTTAACAAGGTAAGAACACAACAGGTACCTGGAAATTACAGGTTGCTACTTACCTGGAAAGGTTTAATGCTTCTTGGTCAAGCAGAGGCTGCGCAGCATCTGGAGGATTGCACATAAGCAGTAAGCAGTGGCCTCGCTTGCAACATGCATGCATCCTGTGCATGAAGGCAAGTTGAAAAAGAGACCGCTGTTGCATGTAAGACCCCTTTTTTTGTTCCTTGCATCACCCGCTTCACATGTGTAACTCAGCCGGTATTCCTTCTAGACCTCATGTGCATGTTCACATGCTCACATTGACTCCGGTGGTCAGAAAGAATTAAACAGACCTTAGTTTTAAATTCACACAAGTGCAGATCTTGTACATTGTGTACTGCTAATAGATACAAACGCCAAAGCTTAAACTTTGATGGCCAAGTTGAAATAAATCAGAACCAAAGCTTTAAGGGACCGTCAATTAATGTAAACCAGACGTTTATTGTCTTCTTCTTACGGAAATGATCTTACACTTTTCACGGTGCTAAATCGTGTTAAGTCTGACTATGCAAAACTGGAAACTTGTATACCGTGAAATGCTTTTCAAGAGCGTGAACTTCTAGTTTTCTTTTAAGAAGAAATTGCATCTTCTGCTGTTTCAGATTGCGCTGCAAGGTCCAAGCACTGCCTAACTGGTCGTCTCCTGTAAAATATTAAACTTTACACTGTAAAAAGAAAATTCTATAAAAAATGGAAAATGGTAATTTATTAATCCTTTGTTCCCTCCATTTCAATGCATGTTTGAATAAATAGTAAATGGGTGGTTTTGGATGGTTAAGAAAATAAGGAAATTCATTTTAAAACATTCATCGTACTGTATTGTTTTTACAGATTTTTATCGTTCTTTTTTTCTTTTTTACACTATATCTTGATGCACAATATTAACTGAAAGTGTTATTTAAAGAGGATCTGGTTAACTGTTGTATTAATAATTCTCCAACAATGTGGATGCAAAACACACAGAAAAAGAAGAATGTGATGTTTCACAATGAATGATTTCATTGTTCCTGTATTAACAGGATGACAACCTTCACATCTGTCCATTAAAATAGTCATGTGGGAGCTATTTAGCTTGCACAGCTTTTAAATGCTCACTAACACACTTTACATGTAGTTTATCTTTTGTAAACAATGGATCCCAGTTCGGGGATGTGAGTGCTGTGCCTCTTATTGTGACTGTTTTAAAACAGATTGAATATAGCTGACATGAAACAACTTGCTCGTTAGCTACAGACATCTGATTAAGCTGTTGCTTGCTATACATGATCGAACTTTCTTTTCAGTTTAAAAGTGTTGTCAACCAGAACAGATGAGGAAGAAGTCCCCTCCGTGAGACGTCAGGCGTGCACTTCACTTCAGTCGGCTGACTTTCCATGGTTTACGGCTGTTAATTTCTTCCAGTCTTAACACTCCTTAAGAATGTGGTGCTACACTGGGGACCGAAGGCTAATGTGCTATAAAAATGCTATCATGTTTTAATAAGCTGCTGGCATCACAGGCAAGGTTTGATAGAGACACTAATGGCCCTGTTTTTTGGAGAAATAAAATCTGAAGGAGTGGTGGATGCTTGATGTCAGAAGTTTCTCAGTCCTATTTGCAAGTTTTGGGGTTTTGTATGTTTTCACTCACTGATTTTTTAAAGATGATTTCACTTTTGCATTTTGATGCATTTGGTGACAGTGAGAGTGGCAGCACAGCTACTTGTTATGGTTTAAGTTGGCTTGTGTTACATTGAGTACCTTTAACATGTTGAAAAATGACATTTGAGGCTATCCACTGTGTTTAAATGTGACACCAAAGAGTTTTTGTCTGGAGTCTATATGTGACCTGTTAAGACTCAGCCCAGTCTCATCACTGCCATGAGACAGAGCACTGACACCCAAGGACACCTTCTGTCTCTTGGACGTCGGCGGCTCTGACAAAACGGCCCATGACTGAGAATGGGATAGCTTGTCACATATCGCCACCACCCTGCTATCTTGCTAACATCCTCCTGCTACCTTCTCAGTCTCTGTCTCTGCCTCTCCCTCTCCCTGCCAAAGCAGAAAGCTGAACATTAGCACTTGGGCCTGAAGACTTTAAATCCTAGTTCCCGAGCAGAGTAGGAGGTGGAGGGAAAGAAGGATTAGAGAGAAGTGTCTCTGATGTTATTTAATCTCACCGTCCAGGGAGTGAGCGAGCCGGCGCACTCCCAGTGCACATTATCAACCTCTGATGACCAGTGAGGGCGGGTGAGGGGGAGAACGGGCGCCTTAGATGCCACATTGCCACCAACACTGCTGCTGCAGAGCACTTCAAGCCATCTTCCAGGCCGTCCCTAAACAGTCAGCAGCTCAATTTGGGTGATGGCAAGTGTGCTCAGTCAGGGGAGAAGTCAGTCCCGGATGATTTCCTCCTTTTTCTGCTCGTTCTCCTCTGCACTGACACCCCTCTTCCCCCATCTCAGCTATCGTCCAAATGCGCCTATGTCCTCCCTTTGCCTCCCGCTGCCTGCCCCCCACCCACCTCCGCAGCATTCCTATTCCCGCGCCCTACCTACCCCAGAAACCAAAAGACCCGGCAATCATTCAGTCGCTCAAGTTATCTCAGGAGCCTGTCTCGCTTCGCCTCCCCCCCTCCAACCTCCCCATCCTCCCTTCTTCTACTTCCCTGCATCCCTCCACCCCTGTGCCCCCCCAGTGCATTCCAGCATGACAAACCACATGGGATTTCACTAGTCCTTTAAAGTCTGCTGCCTCTGGGAACCACTCTTCTTCATGCAACATTTTAGTATTCTAGGGAATACGTGACCAGGGAGGCAACCAATGCAGTTATATGTCTCCCATCTCCTCCAGGTTGTTATTTCTGTTGAGGCTTTAAAAACAGGCAAGAAAGGTAATACTTATCAGGTGATCAAAAGTGATTACTGATTTTTCCCTTTTTTATATATGTTTGTATATCGGGGCATTTCTTTTTCTCTCTGTCCATGGTTTCTGCACAAAAACGGTTCTACCAGCATTTCTTTTACTGAAGTCATTTTTTTTTTTATTTTAACACATAAAAGCATCACAACAACAATATACAAATTCTTAGTAATCTTTAAAACCAAAACACATTTACACATGCAACAATAGGGTTTAAGACAATGAGTAACTTATTGAATAATCGTGTTTTTGGAATGTCTCAACGTTATTTTGCTGGAGGGACTGCTGTTTACGCTGAAGGAGGAGTTTCATCGATCTCTTCTCTCCAGAACAACATCTGGCATGTCAAATATGTGTAGTGGTCTGTAATTAATTCAAAATTTGAATGTTTTCAACATGACCTACAACTCTTTACTGGCATTACTTTCTACCTTTTTGACAGTTACAACCTTTAGTGATCCAAACTGAAAGGAGAAAAAGAAAAAGACACAATGACCTATGTAGTTCTGTAAGGGAAAAAAAAAGGATTTTCTTTGAGAATATGACCCCTCAGACAGCAGTCTGACTCAAACATCTGGCGCTGCCACAATCAAATGACGCCCAATTAGAGCTTAAAGAAGTGTAGCTCACCACACAGGACAATGTGGGCCGTTCTGCTCTATGTCCACTCAAACCAGGAAGCACATCAACAAACCCATCACGGGAGCGCTGCTGCTATCGTTCGCAAACATATTACACTGCCAGCAATGGTCTAAACATGAGCATGTGGATTGCGGATTACATTAAAAAAGAACAAAAAACTGAATAGGACTCAGTTTGATATAATAATTGAAGTAAAAAAAATATATAAAAGGTTGAAGAATAATCACAAGAATAGATTATTGCTCCGCGGTGAAGTGTGTTGGGTTTGTATATCCTCGATCCTTGTGGCCTCTTCCTGTTTGACGGATTCAGGGTGACTGTATGATTGTCTGTTTGAGTCCTTTACACAGGATTGGCTGTGAACCTACAGCCACGACACTGAAAACACATTCATAGACACCAAAAATATACATTATGATACTGTCAAAAGGTACAATAATTACACAGAAAAGGAAATTACAGAGTTAAAACAACACCATTATGTTATCTTTTATCTTTTTGTCTGTCCACGTTTTCTTCTTTCATCCTCTCCAAATGTTTCGGGCGTGATGGGTTCTGTGAACCCATGAAGTGCTCCTGGCAGAGAGTCAAGAGTCCCACCTGCCCTCCTAACTGGTGGATGGGGTGGCCACGGCTTTCTTTCTAAAAGAACCACCGAAAAGCTTCGCCGTTGTTGACCGGCGTCCTCTGTGGGAGACAAAATGTGAAGGACACATTTTATTTCACAGGTTTCATGGTGATGTCACTGGCAACCTCTTGAAAATAAAACAAAACAAAATTCACGTTCAAAAATCACAGATGGCAATAACCCGCAATGTAAGGAGCAGTTGGGTAGAATTGGCTGGAAACAGCATGGACATTAAGTAAAGTAAAAATCCCAGAAGGGCACTTAAAATGGCCAGAAAGCACAACCACCAAATCAAGTATTTCATCAAAGAGCCAGCCAAGGTGATTACATCCACGTCCCACCCACACCCAAATAATCATTACGCTGTATGAAATATTCAATACAAATTCCCAAGAAGCAACAATGAGGCATTTAATTACTGTGAGCTCTAGCCGCAGTGAGGGGGAACAGTGCATCATTTCAATTTGAGCCCGCGCCAGCAGCCGCCCCTCCTTCTTCTCCCCGAAACCTCTACGCCAGAGTGACAGCCTCTTCTTTCCGAAACTCATTTGGAAGTCAGAGACATAAAATACTGGAGTCTCCAACCAATCCCCATGACCAATTAGCACATTTTTTTTGATTTTTTTTCCCCCTGTTGACGGGGGAAATGGTGCATAATCACAACTAAAATCACTTTAGTCTGAGTGGAGAGCAATTTGACATTTTAATACCAAGTGTCATTGGCAGCTTCTTAAAGGCATGCTGATGAGTATGTTAGCACCAGACAGGCGCATGCTCTCAAGCTTATACCGGTTATTGACCACATGTAAAATCTACAGTGTACAACGGGCGCTGATAATAGTTTATATTTAAATTGTATTACCCAAAAGGATTCCAACCATTTGTAATTATTAATTGTCTGGCATCATGATACAAAACACTGGTTTTTTTCCCTTTTTTCGATAAACAATGAATTTGCCTGATAATTGCTGCAGGAGGAGTAACATTTATGCAGTCAATGCAGTAGGCGGGATTAATGCTGTTGTTATTTGTCATGCAGTGCATTGCAAAATGGATATTTAAGCAGCCTAAATTAGCTTGTTTTCTCCACCAAAGAGGCTGCTCAGTGACAAGTGGAGTAACAAGCTGAACAGCTTTTACTTCACTTAACTTATTAAACTAAAACCAAAGCCAGTGTGTTTACATTGACTTTTAATGTCATTAGACACTGCATGCATATGCTGGTCTGTAGTGATTTTTCATTCAAGAAAACTCCAGTTGCACTAGTATCAGACTGAAGAACAAGTGCAATACATTGGAAATTTGTTCCATATCAGAATAAACAAGAAATTACATCATTTAAATGTGTGTAGAGTGCACTGTGCAACATTATGTGTAACAATAGATTTCTTAATTATCAGATATTAGTCCCCATATATGCAGGGAGGTCACCTGAGCCCACACTTGTGGTTTCTTTTCATACCTAAATTCTGAAAATGTGATAGTACTTGCACCAGTTCTTCCAGAACTGAAGGGGCCTGCATAACGCACAAGAAAAACTACATGTGGAACAAAGAGTTAATCGCTCATTGGTGAAAATGGCAGAGTCAAGCATGAAAGTACTGTTTGAAGGGGAGTCTCCAAATTGCGGTAACGAATTCACAAAAAGCAACATGCAAATGATGCTATCGTGCTTTTCCAACCAAGCAAGAAAATACTTCCAGTTTAGCGAAGCATCTTAAAGACTGGCGTCCAAATCTGTTCAAAGAATTCAAGTTGGTTTGGTTTGGTTTGGTTTTGGTTCAACCTGATAATATCTGAAGTGTTATAGTTCCTATATTATCCTGAAATACACATTTCCATGTTGTTTGAGACCACTGTTGTGAAATCAGCGATACATTGTAGGCTAAAATGTTAGCAATAGCTAAAGTGATTTACATGCATAAGCTAACGTACAGAATCGATACCTTGAAGTAAAAGTAGCATGCTACTTGACAACCACCCTCATTTTTCCAGTGTTCTGTCAATAAAATGTAATCATAACATTTTAAAAATAAACTGTCTCCCACCACAATGTCAGTGATTTAAAACGACTTTATAATAAAGGATTTTATGTTTAAGTACAGGAGATAATCATTTTGTTTTGGTATGAATTTGGTATTGTGAATCATGTACTTCCATTGGTACTCACTGCTAATTTACTGTACTGTATTGTGACATCCTTTTTATATGTATGTGTACAATGTGTGTCCAGCACGAATTATAGCCTTTTCACTTTCAAGTAACCAAAACTATTACTTGACTGACATCAATGAGAAGGTCATAAGCCCAACTTTTTAACTAGTGCTTACGATGGCTACACTGACACTGCGATAAGGACTTTAATGTCTTCTGCTATGACAAGTTTAGAATTAAAAGACAAACTTTATTTAGAAACCCACATAAATAATCTTTATAATGAAAAAAGAATAAACATGCCATAAACAAATGAGTCTGCAAACCCATCATCTGATGAGGCTTTTCAGAGCCACCTATGTCATTAAATTAACGTTTATTTATATAGCGACAAATAACTCGAGGTGATTGCAAATGTGCTCTGGTTTTTCTTGAGACATGTCTGGCACAAGGCATTTTAAACAATTTACAGAGTAAGGTACAGATATATTTCCTTTGGGCAAACACATTGCAGTATTGGTACCAAACTTAATAGTAAGAAACCTCTGACAGGGCCGGCATATAGAGAATAGCCATCTGCCCTGACTGGCTGGGGTGAGAACTAATGGATTAACACCAGTGCAACACATCTCTGGGCTCTCATTCACACTAGCTGTGGATCACAAATATTCACTCATCAGGTGTAATGCAGTAGATGTGGCTTTTCCTACAGTTTAGGATATTCTTCCTGTGATCTCCTAAACAGAGTCAGCTGTACAGGTACTGGCTCATCACCCCACCTGATTTAGATGCATGCATTCCTCGTCTGTAGCAACCATTTACCATTTTTTCACACCACATTAAGCAATTACTATTATCCTTCTGAGTGAGTAATGGTGGAACCCAGAGCAGCAGGATACCATCATCACCAATTTAAACGTGGAGGAAATGAAATGCGATCATGTTTTTAAGGGTCAAGATGTGTTCACACATCTAGTTTTTTTTTACCTAATTGCCACGAGCTGATTGTTGTATCGCTGCAGTCCATTAATTGCACTTTTTCATTTTTTGAAAGCAGTTTTGCTGTTTCTAAAAATGCATGTTTTTTATGTGATTTTTGTTTCAAAATGTATTTTTAGAGAACAATGAAAGGCTTAATCAAAGTTATGCTGAGCATAAAAGTCCCCTGGAAAATATAGTAGAAAATCAATTTAGTGTTTATTTACTTCATATTGGGATTCTGCGCAATGTGAACATAGGTTCAACATTTGAGAGTATAAATGATTGCTTTTCTAAACCATTCCCTTGAAAAAAAAATCCAAAAAGACAAGACATAAACACTTCTCAGTTATTAGTACTTTTCCTAGTTTTCTTGATATGAACATTCATCACTTACAGCCAATGTTTTGCTTTAAATTTCCATTTGAGACAAAAGGATGGAAGCAAAGAACTTAATTTTTGTGGCTTGCAGTGTAACATCTGAGTGGACAAAAAGAATATCACACTGCTATATAAATGCCAAATCACTTACCAAAACTTACACGAGTATTAACCCTCGGTTAATAGTCAACACTTAGTACCATTTTTATATAAAAAAGATAAAAGTGTAAAAAAAAAAAAAAAAAGTATATATTTTAAGATTCTCTTCGGTAATGCAAACATACATAAAAACAAAAGCGCCGTAGTGCCGTGCTTTAGGCCTTATGTTTCCATTGATAATCAGAGTTGGTAAAGTTCGTTGCTAGTGTTTCTGTCTAGTAGTTCGTAGACTTTTCTCAGCTTCAATCTGGACTTTAAGAAAAACAACACCTTTTAGACACAAATAATTGTTATGGCTTCATTAGCTTAATGACAACTTAGCAGACCGCTTATGTGGCTGTCGGCTAATTGCTAACAGCTGTCGTATCACCAGACTTTAACAACAAACGCAGATCTCTGTGACTCGACTGGACAATATCAACATTTCTTTCAGAAGACTGAACAAACTTTACAATGCTGTGGATGTTGTGAACACATCTGCGCATCCACAGGAGGACATTCACGTCCCGTTCTTTCTCTCTGCCTATACTGTGATGCTCTTGGAGCTGAAGAAAAGACGAGAGGTGAGAATGTTTATCTTGATCCATATTCTCACATTGATTAATCCCTGGTGGAAGTGCGGCTCACCAGAGACAATAATGACCCTAATCTGGGCACTCGGCATGTCTCTGTTTTGTTAAGTTCCCACGTTATCGATCCAGTTGGGCTCTCGAGTGCTGCTTGGATTCCCTCCCAGGTCTCCGTGCCTCGGCACACTGCTGTGACCAGGCACAAAGAAGGCTCAATTAGTACAGCTCTGTGTCGTCTGGTCCCCCACCTGCATGTGCCTTCAAAGTCGACTGGCAGGAAGAGCTGGGGGGACGACGACGACGACACAAGAATACGGAGACAAGAGAAAGAGAGGGCGATAAAGACAGGGTGAGGAGAAGGTACGAGCTGATAGTGCTACACCAGGGACAAGGGAGCAACGCCAAGGTTTCACCTCAAATCAAGACGCTGTGGCAGCAGCTCAGCTCGCATCAACGCTGCTGCCTCTGCAGCAGAGCATACATAACAACCTGGCTGCAACGACAGACTGAAGGGAAAGACAATTTCCCGCTCCGGCAATGAATGCACACAACAGAGTATTGAACTGGCTGAAGGAGGAGGAAGACATTTCTCCAGACCTCAAATTAACCCCACCACACCAGCACAGTAGGCAGGGTATTCTGACTGTCTGCTGGTGGCTTTGGGTGATAACAACACAGTAAAACTGACATGTAGTGGAATAATTCTCTGCTGATTCTGGTGAGGCAGTGTAAGGTCTCAGGGCAGCATGTGATCTTAACTGGACCTGGCAGGCGCAGTAAACGTTGAAGCCACATCGTCAGCTGATTAAAACAAGGTG